AAATTTGAACTGATGCACAGAAGCAATCACAGAGAGGGTAGGAGGTGACAAGAGGGTTGTAGTAGGGGCGTTTCCAGGACGCAATCTGGAAGCAGCCATGAGGCAAGCGAGCGCAAAACTCAAAACTACAGCTGATAGACGAAACCTCGTGATAATTTCAGGTGGTTTAAACGATGTCCTAAATGGAGATACAGCAGGACTAGCAACCACACTGGGGAATGGGGTCGATAACATGCGCGCCACTTCTCCTCAGGTACAGGTAGTGATATGCACAATACCGGAGTTACCGGTGCGTGACAGCAACCTGCAAAAAGCGGTTGTCAACGCAAACCAAGAAATATGGCAGATGAAACGAGAGAAAGCTTTGAGGTGGTGAAAATAAACAGAAAGGTGCATCGGTGGGGTGGATGTCAACGAGACAGGATTCACTTCAATGGGCGGCTAGGTCATGAGGTGGGTTGGCGACTTGCAAGCCGCGCAGCAGCTTTCTTGGGGGGCACGCGGGCCTTTAGGGGTGCAGGATAACTACTAACGAGGAAAACAACCAGGGAGACTCTTTGACAGGTGGTATGGACCGATACGACTCCAAAGTAGCACCAGTATCTAGGATAGCTAGAGTCCGGTGCAGAAATTGACGTAGCCACGAGCGCCCAGCCAATCCTGACATAGGGTACATAACATCCAGGGTGGCAGGAACAGGTTGAAATAAGGAGAGATAGAACAGCAAAGGGAGGAGAGGCCGATGGTATACGGTTTTGTAGAAACACCTCTTAGGGACATGTCACCACCTCCTAACAATTCGGACTATGCGTGGGAATATTCTAATAAACAGAAGGCAGCAGAAAACAGGTGGTATTGAGCCATTCATTCATAAAAGTACAGACTGGCAAAGGGTCAAGCAGGAGCGCAAGGAACAATTATGGCTAAAAGTAAAAGTAGCAGGGCAAACGACACTCCTTAGTTTTGTGCACTAGTGGACGGGAGCAAAGGCTAGATAGTAAAACAAGGCAATGATAGAGCGTATGTCAAAAGACACTGAGGAGTTAGGAGGAGAGTGCGAGGTAAATATACTAGGAGATATGAATGCGCACATAGAAGATATAGATGGGTATACTGACCCGACAGGCAAAATGATCATGGATAGGTGTGAAAAGCATGATTTGATCATTCGGAAGAGTACCGAGAAGTGTGAAGGGCAAATAACATGGGAGATAGGAAAGCTCCAGTCGATGATAGATCACGCACTGATGTCACATAGGATGTATGATAAGCTCATGAGAATGCACATAGATAAAGGTGGCTCCAGAAGTCTGGGTAGTGATCACAAATGTATTAGGCTAAGTTTTGGAAGAGCAGTGAAAGTGGGAAGGAGACAAGATGGGCAAATAAAGAAAAAATTTTATTCAGAAAGGCAAATAGAAATAGCTACTCAAAAATTGAGAAAGTAATCACTGGGGATAATAAAAGAGTGTGTACAAACATGAACCTAATTAGACTGTTTGAGCTAGAGCTTGATAAGGCACGTGACAAGTTACCCCGAAAAAGAAGACACGAACCCAAAAGTTGGTGGGATGAGGAAGTTAAGAGAGCCATAGCAAAACATCAGAAAGCCTCTAGGAAACACAGACATGCTAAGCAGCGGGGTGAACTGACAGATGATGTTAAAGGATATGGGAAAACTTTCTAAGCTGCAGAAGGGAGGCATCCCTTCTGATTAATGAAAATATTTGAAGAAAGGGAGCTCAGTGGCTGGCAGAAGTATATAAAAAATATAAAGTCAACTGCGAAAATTCGGAACCATCAAAACTCTCTAAGAATTGATACGAGCCTAGAGCAGAGGTTTATATCTACAGCTCAAGGTACTAGGCTAGAAGGTTATGAAGATATTGAATATATAAAAACAAGGATGACAGAAAAATTTCAACAAAAGAGTGCTTTCTGCACCACAATAGAGAAGGATAAATCAACAGGCGCAATGGCTCCATTTTCACAACGAGAGTGGGAAAGGGCTGAGAAGAGGGTTCCTAATAGTACGTCAACAGGCCCAGATGGCATTCCAATTATGCTGATAAAGAAATTAGGTCCGAAGTCTAAGCAGGCTTTGATAGAGGCCGTGAGCCAAATAATAATCGATGGTGGAGTCTCCGATGGATGGAAACTTAGCAGGATGAGCATGATCTATGAAGGAAAGGGAGACAAAGGTGACATAAACAACTACTGTCCTATAACAGTGACATTAGTGGTCTACAGGCTGACGATGCAGATTATAAAAGAAAGACTGCAGGCATAGATAGATGATGAGGGAGTGATGGGGAACTGCAGAACGGGTTTCGGAAACACAGGAGGTTGGAAGACTATCTGTTCTCACTGACACAGTGCATCGAAATAGCAGAAAAAACAAAGGCCCCCGTGGCTAGCGTCTTTAGATATCAAGGGAGCGTATGATTGCGTGGTTCAAGAGGAATTGTGGGGAATACTAGACACACTAGGCGTGAAGAATGGAGTCACAAATCTTTTAAAGGATATCTATAAAGGTAACAAGGTAGGTATAAAGTGGGAAAAACAGGTATTCAAGCCTGCAGAGGTACAACGGTGCTTAGGCAAGGGTGTCCTATGACACCCTTATTATTCATGATGTACCTACAAGGATTAGCAGCCAATATAGAGGAAAGTGGACTGAGCTTCCACCTCTTTTGTCAAACAAGTAAAACTCATTGAACAGGCACAACGAGCATTGATTTACGCAGATGACATAATGCTAATGGCCGACAACAAGGAAGATTTGCAGAGATTGATGAACATCTGCGGTAATAAGGGAGATAGGTTAGATTTCAGATTCAGTAAGGAAAAATCAACAGTCATGATTTTTTGGTGCTAATGAAGGTAGTGAGCTTAGCATACAGGAGATCATGCTAAAGAAAACAGATAAATAAAAATATCTGGGCGTATGGATAAGTAATGGGGCGTAGTACCTAAGAAAACACGAAATATAAGCGACGACTAAAGGTAACAGGAATGCAACGGTGATGAAAAACAGGGCAATATGGATTTACAATAGGCATGATGTTGTGGGAGGAATATGGAAAGGGGTCATGGTTCCTTGTCTGACGTTCGGCAATTCGGTCTTGTGCATGAGATCAGAAGCGCAAGCAAGATTAGAAATTGAGCAACTTGGATTAGGTAGGCTTGCCTTAGGAGCTCATGGGAATACACCGAATTCGGGAGTACAAGGTGATATGAGATGGACATCAATTTAGGGCAGGGAAACTAGCAGCAAGATAAAATTTGAGAAGCGATTGAGAGAAATGGGGGAAAAGCGTTGGGCTAGAAAGGTACTCAGCTACTTGTGCATGAATAATGTAGATACAAAATGGAGGAAGTGAACCAGAAAATGGACTGGTAAATACTTAGAAAACAGCAGGGGGCCAATCCAAAAAAATTATCGGTTAAGAAGAAAGTGAAGGAAGCTAAGAACGATATGTGAAGAATTGGCATGATTAAGAAGTCCGCACTTGGGATCTATCGAACTTTTAAGCAGGAAATTTGCAAGGAAAAGATCTTTGATAATTCTCGGGGTAGTTCTCTACTGTTTGAGGCCAGGACG